ATTGATTGTTGCCTATGGAGGATATCATGTCAGAGGTTGAGGAATTGGTGGCAATTTCAGTTTACCATGGATCCTTTCTGCCATATACTTCTCAGATTTGGTGCTACATCATGTTCGGCTTACCATGCATTTTCTGATATTACCTTCAATGCCCAGTAAAAAATGAAGGCCTTGGAGATTGTTGAGAAGGCAACAGATGCTATCCTCACCCGCAACTTCCACCAGGTTTGTGATAATGCTTCTTTTTCAGGTTTCCTTGTGCGTCCAAAGGATCGTCAAGGAATTCAATTGAAAACTTGTACACCTATTCTTGATGGGGTTCTGATGAAGTTGGCTGGGAATTGCATTTGTTTGAATTTTCTATTAGTTCACGATGGTGGTTGTTGAGATTGTTTTGATCAATTTCTAAGTGAAAACAAATGTAAATTGAAAAATCTTGATTTCCGTTTGCACACTTCATTTTCGAGCGCACCTTGATTTTTCTTGACAGTCAATTGATTGCCATATCCAATGATATGAATTTCACAAATTTGTTCAGTTCCCGCTCACAAAGTTGATAGCTTCTTACTGTTAAAGAATTAAAAGCTCTAGGCAGGGTTATGGGAAATGTACTTGAAGAACTTGCATTAATTTATTTCAACATGTGAATTGAAATAACGTCAAAGTTGTGACTTCTTACTCTTCTGATTTGGCCTATTTCCCAAAACATATAATTGAATGGAAGATAATTCAACACATTTACATGCTATGATGCTAACACTACCTACGAAATACTCAATCCCATACATGTTACGGGCAAAGACTAGAAATATATGAAAGTGTTTAAAAATCCCTATAGCATCCCTACAAGAAAGTCAACGCGCCTTTGATCAAAATAAACTTATGGCCTTGTATGGGAGGGATTAAAATCGGATTAAAATTGAAAATATAGCCGTTATTGTTGACTTTTATTAGACGGGTGGGACCCAATAACGGCTATATTTTCAATTTTAATTGGATTTTATTCACTCCC